ACCAGCGTCTAACGGGCATCCTGCATCGTTCATCCGGCAGTGCTCCAGCGTTGCGTGCCACCGAGCCTCGAGGACTCTCTGGACCACAACAAGTGGACAGACGGTGGGCCACCTGTCTGAGGAGGGGAAGTTTGGCGGATTATGTCTTTATAGGCCCGCCAGAGTCAACAAATCCCCGAACCAAATGAAGTGCCGTGGCATTTGATTAGAAGCAACGACTACTAAACGCCCACAAAGCCGCTTAATTTGTGTCCCGTGTCCCGTGTCCGTGCGAGTGTCTCTTGAGTTTGGGGCAGCAACAACGGCGTTGTATCACCTGTATCGATTGCCACAATACACCATGTAAGTAAATTAATCGACTTGCCAGTTGTCTGCGGCAGCTTGTTGCCGTTTCCACTGAGTGATTATTCAATCAACGATAGAATATCGCTGAATGGGGTTCATAATCATGGATTAGGGTCAATTCGGGGATATGTGGGGTGCACCCAAAACACGTGATGAGATGAGTGGCCCCGGAGAGCACTCTTAAAGCCACTTAAAGCCAAGTGTTTCGACAGCTATTACAAAAAATAACATTTTATTCATTTCATTTAAATAGTAATTTCCTTTGAATGTGTTGCTCTTAATTTGTAGCCTTTATTCCCTGCTGCAAAGAGCAGAGTCCAAGTGCTGCCATTTTCCCCAACTTATTTGGGTCTTAAGCCGAGAGCAAAACTACTATCACTCCCCCCCCCCCCCCCCCCCCCCCCCCCCCCCCCCCCCCCGCCGCGAAAATCCCATTTAATACAGCTCACTATTTGAATAGATCTGAGCTCTTTCTCCGTTTGTTTTCAGACTCGGAGCTGAATGGGGAATGGAGCTGCTCCGAGTTTAGCCGCCCGCAGGCGGAAGGCAAAGCTCCTTTTCAGCTGAGCTCAACTCATCTCAACTTTCGCATTGGACTTTGAATCCTTTTCGAGCCGTTCCCGAACCACAATGCAACCACAAAAACCACAGCAAACAAAAAAAATAAAGAAAAATATGAGGACACTTCAACTCTGTTGCAGCTCCAGACATATACCAGTACTCATTTATGCTGCCACCTACCTCCATCTATTCAGTCATCTGTGGCTCGTCTTATAGCCGTCTCTCGAACCATCCTCCCTGCACTTCGTCGCACACATACGCGCTCGTATCTCCGGTCTGGATTCATCTTAAATTTGCATAACAAGCGGATCTAGCAGCCATATCACACCCACCGTAATTATGTGCAAACAAACGCAGCAAATGAAATTTCAATTAAAAATCCAAGCGAATGGGGGGCACAAAAAGTGAAATCGAAGCCGTCGACATCACACGCTTTGTTGTTGGCGGACCATCGGCTGGTTGGGGGTTGGTACAGGGACTGCGTGCAAGTGCATCCACTCCAACCTCCACTTGGAGGGCTTCCCAGTCACAGTCACAGTCACAGTCGCAGCCACAGCGAGTTGCAAGTGCGTAGCCATCCATCCATCCATCCATCCAGTCAGTCAGTCAGGGAAAGGGAACCAGTCGAGTTGCGACTCAAAGTGAATGCCATGTGGCAAGTGCACCGTCAGATGCAGTGACATTGGCACACGAATCAAGCTGCTCACTCCCTGCCCCTGCCCTCACAGCTTTCCCCATCACTCCTCAAGTGACTGGCCGTGCAATTTTGTTGCCAACCTTGAGGGCGTCGGTAAGCCCGTTACCCGAGCTCCTGCTTCCAGCCCAGAGTCAAGGCTGTTTATTCCAGCGATGGGAGGGAGAGCTCTCCCTACTCACAGATCCCGGCTGAACTACACTGTTTTAGAGAGCATTCTAATGGGGAGCAAAATTATGCAAAGCCCCGATGGCGAGGGAAAGCAAAATCTATAAGCCAAACAGTTGAACCCGTAACGCCTGACTCCGAGGCTAGTAATATTCAACCTTGTAGCTAGTAATAGCTTCGAAGATATTGGATTTGGGGTGCAAGTGAGCCCCCACAATGTTAGAGAAACAGATGGGTTACGACTGTTACCATATTATCTTTGGAGGCTCTAATGAAACTAGGAAGAATTCTCTAAAACCATAGACAATTCTGCCAATATTTGACTGCCAAAATGTTGTTATCATTGGTTGAACGAATTTCGGATGCCTCTGCCAGGGTATTTTCAACTTCGTTTCACCAAAATGTAGCCTTAATTTTTGTTTTTCTTGTATTGCTTTTGGGTTTTTTTTATTCACGGCTAGCTATGTCAACATGGCAGCCAGCCAGCCAGCTCCGTCTCCAGCTCCAGCTCCAGTTCCTGTACTTCCCTCCCCATCATTATTGTGCGCCTTTTTGTGTGCATTGTTGTTGTGGGTGCTGGGGGCTTGGGGTTGGGGGTTGGGGGCTGGTGCCGTGGCTGTGGCCGTGGCTGAGTGCTGGGGCGACTGCAGCGGAGTTGCCATTGCAGTTAATTGAAAATACTAAATTTCCACTGTCTAGACGGCAAATTATATGACAATTGTTAGAGCACGCTCATGTTTGGCTTTCATATTAAAATTAATTACTCTGGCTGAATTTTGCATATAAAAATGTGCCGTGAAAGGCCATAAACAATGGGGCCATTGTCATGTGTGTTTATACACCCGTACCTGTGCTTGTGTGCGACGTCCTGTGACTGTGACGTCTGTCCGAGTGTTGTTTTGGCGTAATTTAAGCAAAGCCCCAGATCCGATTCCGTGCAATTTCTAGGACTTTCGTAATTAGAGTGCGAGGGCGAGCAGTTGCGGGGGTAATTAGAGAAAGTGCGTTGCACATTTTGGAAATTTCACACGCCTCAAAGGCCTCACACACACACAACACGAAAGGCCCCGGTAATTGCAGGGCCGCATAAAGTGCAGGAAATCACATTTGCGCCAGGAGTGAGAGTGCGATGAGCAGAGGAAATTGCACAAAATTTCAACAATAATTACAAACGGAAATCGTGTGCAGGCCGAAAACACCTTTGATCAGGTCTCGGACTCCTTTCCCCCCGGGTGCACAAACGTAAACAATTATTTAGCACTTAATAAACAACAAAATTGAAAATTTAAGACGCCACCAGGAGTCGGCTTGCGGCATATGCAAATTTCGAGCATTTACATGCATGTAATTACACTCTGATATAAATGGTATATGGCATTATTGCACGAGTATATGCATATATCTGGCTGGAGCTGGGGCTGGGGATGGGGCTGGGGCTGGAGCTGGGGGCTGGGGCCGGTTGCCGGGCCTGTGGCATGTGCCACTGACATTCATTAACTGGCAGTGGCAACCTTTCGAGGCAGCTGCAGCAAATAAACGTTGACAGTGGCAACCTTTCGAGGCGGCAACTGCAGTAAATAAACTTTGGCCAAGAACAGGCAGCATCTGCAGCTTCCGAAAATTGACTTAACTGATTTTCCATCCCCCCCTGTGCATTTTATTACGTGTTTATTATGCTAACAATGTGCCGAAAGTTTGCCGGGGCAGGAGGTCCTTCGAACTCTCACAGAGCATCTTTTCACAAATTCTATATCGGAATGTCTGCTTCTGCACTCATGGAATTTCTTGTGATACTCGCATACTTGAGAGCCACTTGTTCATTTGCTAAAAAGCAATCATCATACGCCCCATTGTCCAGCATTTCGGGAATTTCATCTGGCGTTTATTTATCAATATGAAAGGTATTCCCCAGCCACTTCCACACACCCAAATCAAAGACAAATTCAAATTTGTTCTCTCTGCAAGGACGAGTATATATAAATCAGTCCACCATCCAGGAGCCCAACCACTTGATGGCACCGCAGCCACACTCAATGACAACTGCAGCCCGTTGCGTGTGTGAGGCAGAGAAAACAGTAGCCACATTATTTTCATTAGGCCATTGTTTGTCTGGAGTCTTGGACATTTACGCATACGTATACTTTTCTTTCGTTTCTGGAGAGGAAGAACACCTGGAGCGGAGTGGGAAATGTTTGGCTGGGCATTATTTCGGCTGGGCGGCCGACATTTCCATTTCATTTTTCGACACACTCCAAACAAAACGACAAACAACAAGCATAGTCTTGGGCTCCGAATCCTTTACATACCCTCGATGGAATAGTGATCCGATCTGTAAAGTCTGATGGCCAGCTATATGGTAATTTGATCCGACCTGGAGTGTTCCTAGATAGCATTCAAATTGAGGCAATGTGAGATATTTAATGGGTGCAGGAATATGCTTTCTTAAACGAGTTCCAAAACAAATGGTTAAAATCAAAATTCCTTCTCCAACGGCATTGTAGAGGGGTACAAACGGGGGGGCAAGGCCCTCTTGCAAATAGTTGGAGGACGACTTTGCCTTTGTCTTTTGTCTGTGACCCGAGGGCGCAGTCGGTTCCCGTTCCCCCTCTCAGGGAGATTTCTCTCCGTCTGTCTGCCTCTCTGTTTGTGTACTCCCTGAGTGTTTGGGTGTGTTGGCCGGTCCGGTCCGGTCCGGTCCGGTCCATCTGTCATTTTAAGTGGCTTATTCATATGCAAGTGGCTTCCGGGGCTAAACATATTCAAGTGTTTTAGTGGCTCGTGTACATGACCGAGCATTATCATTAAGTGCTTATAGGCAGGATCCCAACCCTGTCTTCCTCTGACCATCTGTCTGCGTGGGTGAACAATGACTGTTATTAACACAAATTGATATGCCAGGCCCTGCTCCTGCTCCTGCTCTTGCTCCGAACAGCACCTGGATGGGGTACTAAGGCTTTAATGGCCATACCCTGACCCTGGCCCTGGCCGGAAGTATCCCAAACAACATTACGCATACGCTCTTTTGCACTAAGCCTGTCGCCGTCTCTCTCGCTCTCACTCTCTCACTCTGTGTGTTGCACTTTTCCTTTGCAGCTGCTATGAAGGCAACGTCCAGCAGCACCCCGCCCAACACCAGCAGCAGCAGCAGCGCCGCCAGCAGCAGCAGCCATCCCCAGGAGCCATCCCTGGCGGGGACGGCGGCCACCACTGCCGGGGCGAGCACCTCGAAGCCCCACCGGCTGGCCAAGGTATCGTTCGCACCGCTGGACATCGGCGTGCCGACGGTGGCCACGTGATACGCGAACACGATGCCCAACCACAACATCGTGTGCGAGTGGCTGCGCACCATCGGGCTGGCCCAGTACGGGGAGAGCTTCCTGGAGAACGGCTACGACGAGCTGGAGATCTGCAAGCAGATCGGCGAGATCGATCTGGATGCCATCGGCGTGGACAATCTGTCGCATCGCGGCAAGCTCTTGAAGAGCGTCCGCATGCTGCGCGAGAAGGGGGCGGCCATTGTCTATGTGCTCATCAACGATCCGAAGGCGCTCAGCAACAGCAACGAGATCCTGGCCTCCGACTGTGATACGCCCGTGACCATGAAGGAGCTGGAGGCGGTCATGAAGCGGCACCTCGAGGCCGACGGCATCCGCCTCACCGCCCACCCGTACTCCACACCGGTAAGTACTCCCAGCCCCCAGCCCCCAACAACTATCCTGGCAACTAGCCAGTCGTCCAAGCGATGGCTCTCTTATCTTGGCCATTCTGCTTGGGGCCCGCCAATTTGCTGCAGCCTCCGCCTCCTGCCCCACGGGAAGCAACGTGTGACAGTCGCCGGTGCGCTGTGTGCGCTCTAATGTGAAATTAACACGATTTTAATTTAGTTAAACCGAGTGGCCAACCGACACCGAGGGCCTCCCGCCCCCCGCTGGGTTTAGCCTTTCTGTAGCCTGTTTATTTTATTATTCGAGCCAGCAGCCAGCAGCCAGCATTCTGGTCCCAGGTCGGAGACCAAAATGATTTTGCATTGCGTTAATTTTGTTTATTTTTGGCACTCGCGTATTTTTTGGTCAATTCTGTTGGCTGTTGGCTTACAGATAAAACTGTACATTGTGGCCGGGGTCTGCAGAGGGGGAGGAGCTGAATGTGTATTGTGTGGCAGCGGAACAATTAAACGATCGGCTAAAACGGCCAGACCAGCAAAATGGACAGCCCCAGCACCGAAGTACAGTACAGACTGCACCAGTATCAGCTATGCCCACGAGAGTGCTCTCAAGGAGAACTCTCCCTCTCTCCGTGTCTCCCTGTCGCATGCCCCACTGTTCTTTGGGGGGGCTAGAAATGCATATTGAAAGCCCCTTGGGCTTGGGATTGCTTCCCTTTGTCTGTAGTTTATTTTTTCATGAATGTTCTGTACTCGTATCTGTGTTTGGTTACGTGTATCTTTGTATGCTTGTGAGTGTGTGGAAAACATGTCACTGGTTCAGGGCCGCCGCCTGCATTCCGCCAAAGAAATCCAATGCAATGCAAAGGCAAATAGATGCGAAGCGAGGCTGCCTCCATTTAAAGTTATTTCAAGAGGTGCCTCTGCTAGGGCCCGAAGAAGAAGAAGAAGGAGGAGGAGGAGGCGCAGGAGGAGGACTTCATTTAAGGGCGTGGCAGTACTGAGCCTATTGAGCACGCATAGAGTGTTGACAGTTGCCAGACCCGACCGAGACTCGTCAGATGCTGATGCTGTCGCTGATGTCGATGATGTTGCAGCTGCTTAATATGCAGGCCACGCTGCCACTTCCACTTCCACTTCCACGCAAAGAGCCCAAAAAGTGTGCAGTCTGCGGAGTCGACTCCTCGTTGAATGTGTGAAAACTTTGTCATAGGCTTGTGCCTGCATCGGCCTCTGCTGCTTTGCATTTTAATTAGCGGCTCTCTTTATTCCTCCGCCGAGTACTTAACATAGTTTGTCTGGCGAGATGTGGTTAAATATTTACGATTGTTGGCTCAAATTGAAACGGAACTTTAAGACCGAAATGAAATTATACCATATGGATGGCTAGACGACAGGTGTCTGTGGGGGGTCCGACCGCGGAGTCCCTCCAGATGCGGGGAAAGGAGGAGCTGGCTGCCAGACTTCTTGGCTTCTGGCACGAGCCGGGCAGAGCTGCTCTGCACTCCGTCTGAGCCATGTTGACGCGCGGGCTGCAACTTCAACTAATTGCACTTTGCGCTGATGAGACAGACATCTATCTGTGAGTGTGTGGGTGTGCGTATGTTTGTTTGTATCTTTGTCTGTGTGTTTGTCTGTCTGACAGCTGCAGACAAGTTGCAGTTGAGCACAAATGTTTGCATGTGCATTACATGAATGCGACGCTAAATGAATTTTCCAGCCAACCCTCCTCTAACTCGTAGAGAGCTCTCTGGAATAGAAAGATGCACACAGATACTGCAGATGCAGATACAGATACAGATACAGATACAGACACAGATACTGCTGCCGGGGGCACGATGGAGCTAGGGGATGCTTCAATGACCGCTTTGAATGTCAAACAGGACACATTTAAGTGGCAGCCTCACGCTAATTACCGGAAGATATTAACACTTGTGTGGCTCCTGCACCAGTCTGTCTGTCTTCAAGGAGCTGCTTTTGACCCTGGCCTTAGTGGACTGCATTGCGGTTGAGTCTTAGCCATCTCTCTGTCTTTCCGTCTCTCTTTTGCAGGAGGGCAAGCGTGGATATCTGGAGGGACTGGCCGCCCACTACAGCAAGCAGATCAACATGCCGTACGAGGACGTGCTGGATGCCATCGAACAGGTGCGCCTATCCAAGTGGAAGGAGCGGCATGTGCGCATCTCGACGGGGCACACGCTCACCCGCCGCCTCGCCGGCGTTCCGGGCTCCAGCAGTTCCGGCGGAGGACTGGTTAGCTCCTCCGTGATGCCCACCAGCCACAGCCAGCCGCTGTATGTGCCCGGCAAGTATTTGGTAAGCGGAACGAACTCTTGGCTTTTTACGGCCCGAGTGCTTTTACGACTCCCGGCATCCCGAACTCCCGGCTAATCAGACCCTAATTCATCTCGTTCATTATGCATGTGTGCGCCGCACGGACCTCCAGCCCTCCAGCTGCCTCTCGAACCGCGAGGAGAACGAGATCTACAGCTACACGCAGAACGATTTGGCCAATCGGATGGCCCGCAACGCCATCGACTCCAAGTCGGCCCTCAATCTGAACGGGATGCAGCACAGCTATCCGGGGGCGCGCACCAATTTCTTTTACGACTTTTCCGCAACAGGTAAGGGACGAGAAGGAGGAGGAGGAGGAGGAGGAGCAGGAGCAGGAGCAGGACGGGGCTCCTGCCAGAGGTTAGAGACACTTCGGCGGCTCTTTGGTTTTTATGGCTTTTAATTCAATTAAATTGGTTTGCGCTTAAACTTTGTCTGTCTGGTTAATCAAATGAACTCCTCTGTCGGTCGGTCTGGCTTGACTGTTTGTTTGATTCTCGGTTTTGATTGTTTGTTTGCCTTCTTTCCGGGATCTCTCAATCTGGAATCGGCTCTATTCGGATCTGCCCCCACCAGAGGGCCGCAACAAGAACAAGCAGCGGCGCACGGTCTTTGCCCGCTTCCTGCAGGGCCTGCGGCAGAGCGGCGACGAGCTGAACGCCACCGAGGGAATGCAGCTGAAGGTGAGTGGAAATGGGAAAAATTCAGGGCTTCATTGCGTGGCTGGGATGGGATGGGGAGCTTCCGCTTCCGCTTCCGTAAGTGTTCTTTTACCGAATGGCACGATTTGCTGCCATTTTCATTGCATTTCCGTCAAGAGAGCGGCATTTCCGCCTTGACATTCGTCGGCTAAACATACACCACTCTATAATCTCCTTAAGACTTATGAATATGGTGAGAGTTTTGCACATTTCCCGCTTCTTCAGTACTGATGCCACTCTCCCGGGAAGCCATGAAAAGTTCTATAATTTGGAGGCAACTTCAAAGCATTTCCTTGCCACATTCAAAACAAAAACTTTCCCTGGTCTCTGTCGCTGCTATCCCCCTTCTGTTTAATGTCGAATTTCAGCAATGGACAACTTTGGCCATCGCTTCCGTGGACATGGCGTGGGTGGGTGGCCACGGGGGCTACTTATAAAATTAAATTAAAATAGAAAAACCGCGTAAACCTACAAATAACAACGACAGCAGCAGCAGCAACAACAAAGGGAAGTGGGGGGGAAAGTCCTCTGCTAAAGGGGGGGACCAGCGTGCGGGGGGCGGGGGTTGAAAACTTTATCAAGGCTAAGCCGATAAAAGGCAATTACCGTTAATTGCGTTGACTTGGCCAAGGCAAGCGGGCCAAAACCAGACAATGACAACACTGGCAAAGAGCAAAGAGCACAGGCAGGAGGACAGGAGGACAGGAGGACAGGCGGACAGCAGGACAGGACATGTGCCGGATGCAAATGCCAGACTCGCAGATATGAACTGCCGATGGGAGGAGCAGGAGGAGTATGATGAAGAGGCAGATGCAGATACAGAGGCAGGGCAAGTGGCAGCGGCACTGGCAGGGAGTGCAGAGCCGCAGCTGCAAGTGCAAGTGCCAGATACAGATACAGATACAAATGCCCAGGACAGAGGAGTGCCGAGCAGTAGCACTGGTAAGAGGCCAACAGGCTACTGGGAGCACTGGGATTGTCAAGGGCCTGGAGCACGTTCCTGGGGCCTTCTCCGGCCTCCGGGTCATTTGCACCTTTGCGCGTTCCGCCTTTTTTTGCGGTTGCCATTGGGCAACTAGATGGAGATGGAGATGGAGATGGACAGGGGGGCATCTAGCGGCTTGGATGGTCCACAGGTAACTGGATTCCCTACACACGATTGTCCTTTTTTTCCGTGCGCATTTGTTTTTATTATTTCAGGCGTGCCAAAGTGTTTTGTTCGGTATGTTCTCTCTTCATTTGGGGGCGGGGTGGAGAGGGGCTTTTCCACCCTCAATTTTCATTCTCTTTTTTTTTTTTTGTGTATTTCGGCTCCTGAGAGAGTTTATAACTTTTCGTGTTTTACGGCTGTTGTCCGGTTTTCCTTTTGTGTCCTTTACTCTTTGCTCCTTTGCTGCTTCTAGGGAGCTGCTGCTGCCGGCGCTGTTCATTTAATATTTAAGCACAATTTGCCGCCGTCCAGGACCGGACCCGGACCACGCCAAGGACTCTTCTTGGGCCCCCTCCCCTGCCACTCTCCTGGCGAGTTTTGCGGTCAATTTGGAAAATGACTTGGGCTAAGCACTGGCGACAATTGTGCTCCGACTCCGTGTTTCAGTTCAGTTCTCGGGACAACTTCTTTTGTGTTTTTTGGGCAGTGCTGTGCTGTGTGTCCTTTGGCACTCATTACCTTTCCCTCCCCGGCAGCCCCCCCGGCAACATCTGCCACTTGGAGGAGGAGCAGAAGGAGGGATGCCAAAGGTCACACGGAGCGTATGTCTAAACTGCTTCGCAAACTCTGCTGCTCGGTTCCGGGCCTGGTCCTAGCCCTGGTCCTGGCCACGCTCTCATTATGCGGTCTGCTGCGGAAATGTTGCTTTGGGGAAATTCAGTTGGGGCTGTCGCTGGCGTTGGCCTTTCATTATACTTATTCGTATTCGCCGCTTTTCATTTGACATTTCCATTTTGAAGTTCTGGGGGCTGCGGTCCTTTCTGTTTGGAGGTGTCGATTTGTTTTATGCCGTGGCTCCGGTCTGGTGTGGTCTTTTTTCGCAAGTTAATGAAGTAATCATGGGCGGAGGACAGAAGTACGAGTAACATCTATCTACCATTTGCCATTCCAGACAAACGAGCGACTGAGGGCCTGCAGCACGATGAAGCGACCTGAGCCGCACCAGGACTTTGAGAAGACCATTCAGAGAGTAAATATGAGAGTCCCCCAGCCCCCACTGGCCCCCATTCCATGACCGACTAATGTATCTTTGGCCTTTTTGTACCCAGCTCAAGACACAAAAGGCGGCCCAGAAGAAGCCCGCCAGCGCGCCCATGGACATTGCGTGTCACGAACGGAACAAGGAGGTGGCCCTGGCCCATGCCCACGTCAACGAGATGCCGCTGAACAACTACACGAAGCATCCCTAGGACACGGCCCTAAGCAGCGCTGCTGCTTAAGATCGACGCTAAACAATCGAACCCCCAATCAACACACAGGCATTTCAATCGATTCAATCTTTCAATCAGGTGATACACATGTTAGGCAAGCAGGAATCGGAGCGTAGTCTACTCGTATTACTCGAAGAGGCTTAGAGACTTAGGGATAGTTAAGGATAGGGATAACGAAGATCAACGAAGCAATATAGCAATACGTATATGTAGCCATAGATTTAGTGGAGTTTGACTTACCTCTAGAACTAATTGAATTACCTAGAACCTTACCTGATCGCCACCTGAACTATCTCTCGTGTATAGTCACCACCTAGGATAGCACCCCCTATAGCTCCTCTATATATAACTCTCACTTTGTTTCGTTTGCACCCTCTCCATTGATGCCTCCCCACAGACTCCCACTCAAAATCGCCATACAGAATCAATCAGTTCAGGCTCTTGCCCCGAAGTCTATCAACAATTATTTCGAACACCCCGAGAACACACAGAACACACAGTCTGCGAATGCGGCACCATACTCCGCTGGGAAATGTTGACAAAACGCAAAAATCCAACAAGCTTAACGCTAAATCAACACCCATACAGACCGAGAGGGGACACACACACACGCACGCACGCAGGGAGGGAGAGGCGGGGATACATACTCTCCCACAGATAGGGAGCCCGAGCCCAAGCCCGAACCCGATCCCGGGCCGGCAAACTTGTCCTAACCGCAGACGTTGCACAGACAGACACTGACGGAGCAGACGGACGGACGGCTCTGACTGTGTGGCATTTCCGTTTCAACTTGGCATTGCATCGATTTTGGTCTTTGGTTTTTCGGGTGCGTGGCACATGGTGCGGCTTTCAGGGAGCGGGTGCTCCTGCGGGTTGCAGCTGCAGCTGCAGCTGCAGGCGGCCTTTGCCATTTGCCATTTGCCTTTTTTGCATTTTAATTGCATGTTGCGCCCGAAAGTATGCAACGAACTTGCCCCGGACCCACATAGACACACAGGCATCCGTGTGCAGAGGAGTGTTGCATGTTTCTGATCTGTCCTGCTGCGACAGAGAATGCGATTTGCATTTTTGAGCCGTGCAAAGGCATTTGAAATTCGTTTTTAATTTTGTTTGCTTTTTGGCCAAGAGGCATTCACCGACCGCCCGACCGACCGACCATTCGATGGAGCCATCGGCTCGCGGTTGTCTTTGCCATTTGCCAAAACTCCCTGGCACCACCCGTGCTCGTGTTATTAAATGTCTGGGGCTGCCACGAAATTGAAACATTTAGTGGCTACGTGAGCGGGCGCCAGCGCCAGCGCCAGTGCGTGCCAACGATGCTCATTTCCGGTTCCGCTTGTCGCCGAAACTGCAATTAGCTCAAGCACTTAAGGCCCGGACCGGTCTCCCGTGGAAAGTTGGAAATATGTAGTTTGTCGCAGAATTAAAGGTTTTTTGTCAGCATTTCGATTGAACAACACTCGTCCGAGTACTCGTATATAAATATTCGTTTAATTGATAGAATAGGTTTTTTTCTTTGATTTGTTTCAATTGGTTTTTAGCTTGTGTTAACGTGCAATTAACTCGGCCAGGCCTCGATGATCATTTTATTTAAATTAAATTAAGTGCAACAGAGCCTCCGCAGAGAGGCGTCCCCGTCCCCATCCCCGTCCCCCACCCCACAGCCACCCAGCCAGCCATCCACCCAGCCATCCAGCCATCCAGCAATAGTGAAAATAGTATAGACAAACAAACAAACAAATGCAAACAGTGAAAAAAGGTGAAATTAAATATAGGCAAAGTGAAAACAAAGCAACAAAACTCTGGCCGGTGCCGTGCAGTCAAGTGTAAAATGGTGCGCCAGTTTAATATACATATAATTGTTTAACTACATATAAATATACATACACATATACAGCTACAGCTACAGATACAGATATTCTCATACACATAAATGGCTCGAAACAATGAGAGCCCCGTCAGCAGATACATACATATAGATACATAAGCACCGTTTATGTGTAAAATGGATAAAAACAAAGTCAAATTTTCGTATTCCACGCTTCCTTTAATCGCAAACGAAAAACGAATACAGTCCCCGGACTATAGGTAATATATCAACTAAATCAGGCGAAGGAATCACTTGTGCGTAAGCCCCAATCACAATTTAAATTAAGCAGCCCCCCACAAATCAATCGTATGACATAGTTTTGGGCAGTAGAGAGAACCTCGGCAGATGCACGGCAATCAGGAGCTGCTCAGCCAAATGACAGAACAGACTAATGGCCAAGTGCACTCGGGAGTGCCACAAATCATAATGGAGAAGAAGTAGCCAGCAGAGAGGGCCCCGTAGGAGACTTCCTTCCCTTGGAAATGTGTTCAGTTAAGCAATTAGGCGAAAAATCAATAAATAGCCATATATATTTATTAGTTTACTATGAATATTGATGACTCTTACAATATACAATATATAGATATACACGAATATACATATATTTACTGGTAGCTACATATATTTACAATTAAAGTCTATGGACGATGGTCAACAAATTTCAATTTACATACGTAAGTGTTTAAGCAAAATGCCAAAAGCATTTCAAATGCAAATGGAGAAAAATGTACACGAGTAAGTCATGAAAAAATGCAAATATATATGCGAATATACATATACATACAAATTGATTGCAAAACAAATAAATAATATTTATGAAAATAGAGCACGCGTGAAAGCGTGTCAAAATTATTTGACTTCCACACACACACACACACAACACACACAACACACCCATCCCAACCCATTCCATCCCATGTAATCGTTCAAATATATTCATATATTTACAGATGTATGTGTGTAGTAGTGCTATCTATGTGTATACAACCAACCAGGCCCATATGTACTTTAAATAAATATTTAGCAAACGTATGGAATATGTTGCAATTGTAATCGCAGAGCAACAAAAAGGGTAGAAAATCTGCATATGTTATGTGGAAACTTTTGGAAACAGTCAATTGAATCCTGCATTTTTTAAGTTCTATTCGAAAACAGAAATAAAGAGAGTTTTTCCACACCAAAGTTGCTCAATGGGCGAGGTGTTTCGCTAGAGGGAGGAGGGTGTCATCCCCCTTTAAAGTATTCCATCAGTAAATCATTTTATCCCCAGCCCCGGGCCGTAGATGATTGATGATTGCTTTTGAAGCGTCCTCTCTCTCTCTCTCTCTCTATCCCTCTCTGGGTGAAAGGAGCTGATATTGTGATTGCTCTTACATCCACACCTTCAAGGGGAAGCAAGCGGAACCTTAGGCACTTAAGGTAGGTACAGCAAAAGGGGCTCTAGATGGCAGGGAGGCTATGGCATGTGAATATAACGCAAATTAACAAAGTTATCTGGCAGTACGAAGACTATTTCAATACTTAGGATTGCACTTGTAAAGATAATGAGCAACTATAGAGATAGAAGGCACAGATTGGCGGCAGTCATTTAGGACACTGCAATGAATCAATATAACCATCATTATACTATACCAAAACATATATGTCGAGACTGCACATCTCGAGACTGACATTAGATGAATGAGTGACCTCTTTAAAGTGGTTCAAACTCCTTGAAAACTCCTTGCTTGTAACGAGAAAAGGGATAAAAAAGGTAACCTAAGTCCCCTCCACTTTCGAGCTTGAAAGATGCCCAGCATTCAGCTGCCATCAGTATTTATTCTGCAGGTCGATCAACTTACCAATTATTTGGTTTCTATTAAAATATACTCGTACGTATGCAAATCCACACTCGGCCCAAATCGAGGCTAGAGAAGGGTCGAAGTAGACGCCTGCCGTATCCCATTAAAACAAATGAAAGCAATTTGTGTGGAGGGTGCGGGGCAGAAAGAAATGCAGTGCCGGGCTCCTACTCGAATATTCCCAAACAAATATGCAGGTCTCCTCTGTGCCACACTGCCGCATGGCCCCCCCCCCTGCTCTCACAGTTCGAACTTCGAACGTGTCATTGTAAGTTCAAGTGTAGCCAAGAGCATCGGCATCCTGCAGCGGCACTCGCAGCAGCTGGAGTGGGATCGGGAGCAGCAGCAGGAGCTGGAGCAGAAGTCCTCCAGCTGACTCCAGCTCTGGAGCGGACCTGGATGAGTGCTGATGATGATTGTTGGCATCGCAATGAAGAGGGGGGGATCGGACTGGGACTGGGACTGGGACTGCCACTGGTAGTGGGACTTTTCGGGCCTGGTCTGGTCTGTGACGATTGTGATGGGCACAAAAGCCAACGGCTCATGAAAAATGCATGCGACTCGGCTGGCTCATATGTTTTATGGCTTGTTGAATTCCGTTGCTGCCCCGTCAGTGCCTCGCTCCCCCCCTCCCCCATTGTAGTTCAAGTTGTAGTCAAAGTCGCAGCACACAGCCGTAGAGCCTGTTAAATTAATAAAGGACACGCCGGCAGGACCCTGACAAAAATTTGTATGCGGCCAAAGTTGAGGTTTGTTTTCCAACAGCTGTGCAGGAGACGTCCTGTCAAAGCTGCCAGCTGTCCGAGGAAGAGGCATGGGGGTGCCTGGAACCCCAGTAGGATAGAGCAGGACAGGGATAATATGTTTAATTTTCCCTTACATATACCCAACCCCCTGCTCTCTTATGGTTTCATATTTTTTTGGTCCAGTGGTTGTTTTGGGGACTTTCCGCAGCCTTAGATTCAGCTTCTGTTTCAGCTTCAGCTTCAGCTTTTGTTTTCTTTGATTTTATGAGGCCCCACCCGCTCCCCCACCCCCACCCACACCCATACCCGCATCCGTATTTGTCTAACGGACTGTAAACTTCTCTACCCCTTACTCCTTTCCTACATGTGTGTGTGTGTGTGGTTTCGAGGGGTTCATTTCTTGTCTTCCCTTCCCTTCCCTTTCTCCGTTTTTTTTTTTTTATAAATTTTAATTTCCGTTTGCATTTTGCACGTTTTTCATAATTCATGCTCTCCAAGCAGCTAGATTGATGAGGACCGTTTCCAGTCGGGCTTTTCGGGCTGTCCACTGGGCTTATCCCCACCCGCAGCCCGCTACCAGCAGCAGAGGCAGAGGGCCAGGGGCCGCAAGGGGGTACCAACACCGCCACTCACATGCATAATCGTGCGGAAATGCCAGACACACTAAGCTGACCTGAACCGACTCGTACTCGGCTCCGGGAAGTTGCCCAGAGAGTCTTACTTATATGTGAGTGTATATGTGTGCCCACACACACATAGAGAT